CCCCAAAACCCCAAAACCCCAAAACCCCAAAACCCCATAATCTCTTAATAGACAATTGTGAGATGAAATAATAAATAATTGAGTAGCTTTAGATTTTAATGAAAGGAAATTTATCTTGATTCCTTCTTTTGCTATGGCCTTTCATTCGTCGTCAGCACCGGCATCAGCTCCCTTTCTTGACTTCTTGGTCTTGGTTCTTCCGAGTTTACCAGTCTTGAAGACTGAGGTTGGGGCGAGTTGGATGTGTTGTTCTGAGCTCACTCTAACCAAGTAACTTGGGATGTTAACGAGTTGCTTTCCAACGGCGATGTGTCTTTGTCTGATAAGAACTCTAGCGTGATGGACGGAATTGGCGAGCTTTCTCTTGGCGACAAGGGTTTAAAGTCTTCTCTCCATGATTTGGGAAAGGGTAAGACCCAAGACGTAATCGAGCTTTCTCTCGTTCTCCTTGAGCACTCCGAGTCTAACCATTCTTCTGATAAGGGCATCACCTATAATTAAATTATAAATATATTTAATATAAGTGCACGTACCTTCGAAGACTCTTCTAGGATCTTTCTCATCTAAGGTTAGTAAATCTCTAGCAGCTTTTCTATAAAAGAAGTCAGAAACTGTGATCTAAAGTTGGTGGTTACCTGATTTTGGCAAGAGTAAATTGGACTCTCCACACCTCTCTCTTGTTCTTCAAGCCATAGGCTCCGATGACTTTCAACCTAAAAACGAAAGTTATGAAACTGTGTCTATCTTACTCGTTGGTGAGTCTCTCCTTTTCAAATGGTCTCTTAGGTGATTTAGCGGTTTTGCTGTCTAAAATCATGGTTAACAATCGTGAAATGGGACTTACAGTTCGTGTACTTCTTTGGCATCTTTGTATCTGCAGCCAATAGATATCAATATTTAAATAATAAATATTAGACAGCCATCCCTATTTATTACTATTTTTCCTTTAATTCTAAATCCTCGCAAAAAATCATTGTTGGGGTTTTGGGGTTTTGGGGCCTCCTCATCATCATCAACTTCCTCATTTTG